ATTAGTGAGAGAAATCGAAATATTTTCCCCTTGACTGCACATTCGGTGACTTATTGCTTGGTACAAATCCATAATACTTTTTTTAGCTATTAGTTAATGTCAGTGAACCATTTAGGAAAGTATTGAAGACTTATATAAAATTAAATTGCATAGCTTCGGAAACTCTTTGAATTTTCATGTGCTCTGCGCCATGGATAATGCGTCATATCCTTAAAATTAAGATTCAAAATCGTCATTGTTAAAATATGAACAGTCAAATTTGAAAATCTAATAAGTAAACAACACATCAATGGTTTGCGAATATACACCGGGAGACTACTGAAAAGAACTAGCTAGAATCTCCGCAAGGGATGTTTTTCCTTCGTCATTGTAAAATTAAAAAAATATTTTGAACCAATATTTGCACTACCTTTTTTATAACACGTGGTCAAATCACGCTTCTAACGCCATCTCGCCCTGTTAAGGGCAGGTTGGCCTACTCGATAACATTGATTGCATTACCTACGTAATCTAACCTTAAAGAAAACATTATTATTACTAACGCGTTCACTAGTGAACGCGTTAGTGTAAAATTTATACGGAGATTTGTAGTTCTAGGTAGTTACCGCTAGAGGCGCTGTACCGGATTCCATACTAAAATCTTAACGCACTCACGATCGACAGTGAACGTAAACGTCAAAAAAACTTACACTAAGCGCTCTGGGCAAGTGCTCTTACTTACCCGCCTTAATCCGGCTCTGTCGTTGTGTAACAAAATCACAATCTTCTGTTGGCTTTAGCACTAAAAAAAGTAGATAATTAACGTTATTTATAACTCATCATTTAAATTCGCCTATCAAAAATTTTACACTATAGGTTTTTGTGGCTACGAGAAAACTGTAAAAAAGTCAATGTTAAGCGACCGTATTGTGTATTTCATTTTTTCCCCATAGTTTTAAGATTTCAAATATTAGTTGACCAACACGAAATTCGTTAGACCATAGAAATGAAAAGAGGAAAAATTCAAGACTAATTTTCGTCTTCCAAAGCAAGCTTGCTTTGGAAGTTTGAACAGATGTTGCTTAGTATTCCTAAGCATTAACATGACGCCTGAAGTCATATTCTATTTCCCAGAAAATGAAATATCGTCTGTTTTGGAACTGCTAATATGACTATGAACGTATTTATCTTTAATTTATGATGCAACGGAGATAGGGACTGACACTGCCTCTGATTTACTCAGATAATTTCAGGAATATGACCTTAAAAAAAATAAAAACGATTTCATTTTTTTTTAAATAGGCTCTCGGGTGTCTTGTTCATTCGTACGAGTACCTGATAAAAAACTCGCACGTTGGTTTCAAGAATCTCCCTTATATCTCTGAAGTCCTGGGTTAACAAAATGTTATAGTTTTACATAAATAATAATAGTAAGCTTATTTATACTTAGTTTATTTTCATGAATTCTCGACGATGGTTTTGATTTTGTCGTTTTAGCACACTGCATCTAATAAAAAAACATATTTGGTGATTATGATTTCCTTTAATAAAATTCACATTTGCATAAACAAATGAACACTCAAATAAGAGTAATTTTGATAGCATTATTAGAAAAAAAATGTTTCGTATCTATGCAATTCTATTTTAATTTGAACATTGTTTACAGGGGTGGCCAACCCTGACATGTGTTGGGTCGCTTCAATAGGCCGGTGTCCCGCGGTGTCATTGTCCCGGTAATTTGTAGCTAGTATCAGTAGGTACAAATAAATAATTACCTTATTTCGACTAATGAAACGTCTACGTCTTGGATAATCCATTCTGGTCAAATACCCAACCCGCGTGTTTAATTATTCAATTTATATTGATATAAAAGAAATATTTTATACTAATGAAATATTTAACAGAAATATATATGTATATATTTAAATCTATTCAATCCAAACATAATCAAATCTTTGCTCTTTATAATATCAGTATAGATAAATATTCTGAAACAGCCATTATAAAGTAGAAATTTTTAATATAACAATGAAATATAATGGTTACAATTTAGCTGCGATCAATCATAAATCATAATTGAAAAATAACATTAACGGTTAATGTGATATAAGACAACCGAGCATCATCATTATCTATTTAAAATAAAAATAAATTAATCAACACACAAACACACCTACATAAATAAATAAATGTTCTTACAGCAATTACATAAATATTAGAAATAAAAAAACTGCAAAAGAAACATTAATTAGGTTTGATGATAGCATACGGAATATTAATAAAAGTTTTAAAACTTCATCGATTGTATTAGCATCAAAATCTAATTAGCATTTATCTTATAAGAAACGCCGTAGTTATATTATCTATAATATGTAATAAAGGTTTGAGTGGACACCTCAAATAATATTTAAGGAGTGAAAATAAACGCGTATGATATATCGCAAAAAAAGTTTATCGCGTGAGAAAAGGATCTTAGTGAAATAATATTAAATTAATCAAATAGAGTTCGTGCGGCGAATAAATAACATTCAAAGAGTAAAAATAAAATGCGCGGGAGTATGTACTCCGCCCAAGCCGGCTTGCTGGCCAATGATTGTGTACATTCAGGGGGCGTAAACAAATAGTGGAATGCGTATTTTTGTTACAAAAATAATTATGAGGTAAGTTTGGAATGTCTTATTAATTATTTCAATTATTTTTGGCGCTCAACATTCGGCTTAGCGCGTTTAGAATGTTAATAGACTACGCCTTTGTTTCTATTTCCGTGGTATTAGTGGGAAGAATAATGTGTCTACACATTATTCTTCCCACTAATACCCACTAAGGCATGGTTAAATATATTTTTTAATTGATATCTAGCTATTTTCAGCAATTAAACTGGCGTAAATTATAATCCTTTATCACCCGCGTACAATTTAACTTCCAGTAGGTGAATATTTTTTATGAACGGATCAGTATATCCGAAGACTAACCGCTACAAACGAATAAAGTTAGAAACGTCTCTATAAAATATTAGTTTACCTAGATGACAAATTAGTTTACCTATATACAAATGTTTCTTAATTTTTTCTTTTAGCTGGCTATAAAGGAATCTCATATTTTTTTCTACACGGCAATTCTGCTGTTGGAGTAAGTATCGAAAAAATTCAGCTATTCTTTCCATAGTTGAAGCCAACTACAATCCCTTATGACATAGTTCTTGTTACTAGATCATAAAATATTAAATATCTGTCACCATTGATTTCTGAACATGAAGACATTGTACTTAGAACACTGGACTTCAGGTAGATAATACAGCAGGCGAAATACAAGTAGTTGAGATTCCATTCTGATACGATTTTTACTTTAAAATTAGAAGAACTGAGGTCTGAAACTCTGCTCTAGCGGTGAATCTCCGAGATAGAAAAAGTTACAAGTTCACTTTCCAATCTCAGCGCTTGCTTTTTTATCTGTGTTTTTCAGATGCTATGATATTTTCTTTATAACGAATTCACAATAATTTATCCTACTGTTTATTTTATTACTGATGTGAATTCAAATACAACTTATTACACTTTGCCGTGCATAGTATATTATATAAATAAACTAACGCCAACTAGATATGCTACAAAAAGCTCTATGCTATACGACAAAGGGATGTTAGGATTTATTCCTTCAATTTTTTTAGGTTAAGTTTTCCTCCCTTTGAATGCTTCTTTAGACTTTTTGAAGTTAACTAAATTAGAAAAGTTGAAAAAACGTAAGAAAGATGCCTTTAATTATTCATCCCAAATACGGGAAGCATTTTTCACAACTCAAACACTGCTGATTTCAACAATCGTTTACTTAAATTATATATTAAAATAATATTAAGAATAAAATTCACTGAAATTATGCATCATGACCGAAATTAGGAATTCGCGCCAAAATTATATTATTGACAAATATATTTATAAAGCTTTTACAAATTGATAATGATTTTAAAATAAAAAGCCGTGGGTTTCGATATTTTTTCTATATAATGACATAACAAAAACAAAATACAAAAGATAATATTAAAAGTATACAAAAACTATACAAAAGGTTTTACTGTTGTCGTCGTCGGCAACACAAATAAAAAACGTTTTTAATCACACAGCCACAGTTACGCGTGGCTATATAGTCATAATATATTAGTTTATTTTTTTTAACTATATATATTGATAATAATGATCGTAATTATTAAATTATGTCAAATAAGAGATACATATAAACATTTGATTAAAATATATTTAGTAATTTCGGAGTTTATAAATGACATACATTGAGATACGAGATTTTATATCCTACATAAGATTAAAAAAACTAGGAACCTATATTTATATTATTTATTATTAATAATCTTATTGAAACCATTTCTTTTACTAATGCTTGATGAAATTATCAGACTAAAGACATATATGTAACCAATTATGAAGTAATCAATATAAATGAATTAACTATATTAAATGAAGGTAATTAATTAAGCCAATAAGTACGAAGAAGCCTCTTGCGAAAAGTATAACCAACACGATTGTCCTCAATATGATGACACAGCGTGACGCGAATTAAATTAAAAGCGACGACATGTGTTTTCCTTCCCACAGGAAAATACATTAGCCGAAACATTTCCCGGCTGACGGCTGTCCCGTTCACACATACTAACAAACTGGAACGATCGAAAGGGAGCCGTGAAATGGCGCCCTCTAAGCTAACAACGAGCTTTCAACGTAAATCTGATAAAGCGAACACATTACGGCACTAACACAAAGAAATGTTCTTCTTTTAAATATGTCGTGAACTCGATATTGCACCCGGCTCTTTCTAGCGTCAATTTTGGGTATACGTTAGAGCGAGACGACTGTTTGTTTCGAACGGCGCCGCGTCCGGTTCTATTGGGTGAAAAAGTTTACGGTGTCCCGCCCTTTCTCAACGTGCAGGGCTGCGTTCGCGCCTTCGTACAAAATATTGTTCTAAGAAACAGTATGTCGGTTGAATCGAGGGGCGGCGTCGCGGGAGCCCGCAGTCATGCTGTGTGCCTCAGCGGAGTCACGTCGCGACAACCAATTTTACGGGAGAAAATCGTACCGTGACTATTCGTCAAGAAAATATATGTCACCAAATACGAAACGCGAAAACAATACGTTATAACGACGCGCTAGATACTGTGATACGAGTAGTATTGATATAGTTAGCTAATACTGAAATAGTTAGCTAATACTGAAATTTATTTTAGATATACACAAAATTTTAAAATACGTTGAGTGAAGTGTTTTGATATTTTTTTTGTGTGCTCATAATTCTTGTGATATACCGCATTTGTATCTAAAGACTGGATTTCTTTTAGATAACAAGTAAGTTGATTTTATTTTGTAATATAGTGATCAAATAAATTGAAAATTAATATTAAGAATTCAGCCATGATTAAATCAATAACAACACTTTTTCACAAACTTAGAACAAGACGTATCTTAACTAGCAATTGCTTAATTTCATGAATCACCTAAGCAGATTTTTTAAGTTCCATATAAACAAATGCGATAAGACACATTTTAGATTTATTTTTACTCTAAATGCTCAACAAATAAAGTTTTAATCAATTAAAATGTAACAGTAATAATTAAATTTGAAACATAATACTTTAAGTAAACAGGAATGGTTATGTTACATGACATAGATATAAAAAAAAAACGAAAATAATTAAAAAAAATTCGGTGATTCATTAAGACTACCTATTGTTTATGTTTTATGGAATGTTCTAGCTTTTTGCTGTATTGATTCCTAATTGAAAACCTGAGCGCCAATATTACATATTCCGGACATATTCCGAAAATATTATATTAACTCGTACGAATTAACATTATACCTGAGGGCCTATTCGTTCAAGAGTTCTTGATATAAAATTGGGAAAAGTTTCAAATCGTCCTTATAATTTTGTTGTCATCATATTCGTGAAGATTTATTGTGAATCAGAGTCACTGTCAGGATAACCTATAAATTATCGAAAAATGTGTTACTTTGAAATCATATAAGCATTTCGAAAATAGACGAAATTTCGCTTTCGTTGGAGTAGAATAGGCTGGTGTCATGGTAATTCGTACAAGTAGTTGCTTCCTATTTATCAGCCAGTTGCACAAACGTCCATTAAAATTGTCATTAGTCAAAAGCGACATTACGGATACGAATTTGGCATTTATTAGAGCTTAACGGCGTCATCGAACCGTAATGGAGGTTTGTGCAACTGGCCGTATATCATTAGAAATTTTGTTCATTTTTACATTAAACCAAATGATAGATAAATGCGGAATCTGTGATACAAAATAACATATATAAAAATGATAATGGATCACGATTTATCGACATTAATATTATAAGAATATGTTTAATTGCATAAAATTAACTAGCTGTTTTTTCACGATTTCATCCGCGTAAATATATACTATGTCAACTGATGTAGCTTCCCATAGGTGAAAGATTTTTTTTAATTGTTGCAGTAATTTCGGAGCGTATCCAATGAAAACAAACAATAAATACTTGTCTGCTTATAATATTAATAAGATAAACTCAGAAACGAGTGTTAATACTGTATTTTACTAAGTAACAACGCCTTATTTTTATTTTAAATTCCTCACAGTTTCCATCAAAAGTGATCTTGGCCAAGTAATGCATATTAGATATTTATATAAATTATTATTCTTATTATAAATACAACTTCTAGACTAATTTCTTATCAGATGACATATGTTATCTTTAAACCGCCTGTAGGTAGTTAGTTTGTTAGTAACTAGTTACGATTGAATAAAGATTTGGTTACCTACTATATTCAAAATGCATTTATTTATCCATTATTATGATCAATATAACATCCTAAAGAGTAGAATATATATGACAAGCATGACTTAGTAAAGCCTCAAAATAATGTTTATTGTTAATTCAAAAAACTTCCCAAACTTCCTAAAATGCGTTACATTTTGGGAAGTAGGTAGGTTGAAAAATATTGAAAGATTCAAAAGGACTCGTAATAAGTTGTAATAAGATTTTTTACATTGATATTAAGGTATATATTTTTGTTTCAATACCTGCTATTACTATTTGTAATTTAAATACGATAAAGGATGAAAATTAAAATTAGCAAATGTGTCACCAATGAAAAATGTTTGGAACTCGAGATAAATAAATATATTAATAAAAATAAGTCACATTTAAAACAAAAATTAGATTTGTTATAAACTAGCTTTTCGCTAGCGGCCTTGCCCGCGGGGTCTTGTATTATACATAAAAACCTTCCTTTTGAATCACCCTATTCATGAAAAAAACCGCATCAAAATCCGTTTTTTTTAAGATTTAAGCATTCATAGGGATATAGGGATAGAGAAAGCGACTTTGTTTTATACTATGTAGTGATAAAAAAGGTTTGGAACTCGAACCGGACGAGCTAAATAATATATACATAAAAAATAGTATCATAAAAACGAAAATTATTTATTAAAAATACACTAGGAAATAATGATGGCGAAAAATAAAATGGAGAGAAGCCACAATCCATAAAAGAAATACCTACAAGAATTATGGAAAACTTAAATGGAAAACTAAGAAAAGCTGTGTTAGGCAAAGTAGGATTATGTAGGGTTTAATAAATTACCAGAAACCCAAAGAATACCCAAAGACAAATTAGAAACACACTTCGATGAAAATGCGGAAAATACGGAGAATGCAAATCTGCCATTTTATATGCTTACTAGCTGTTTTTCTACGACATCGCCCGCAAATATTTTGATGTCAATTTTTATTTGTTTTTCTATCAGGTAAATTACTGAAGTATAAAAACGTATCTTTTTTGCGTTAATAAATGCGGTAAATTGAGTTGAAATACTGCAGGACGTCGTACCTTTGTACATTCTCTATAGCTGTGATATAGCGCTCCACCACTCTTCGACTAAGCTAAAAAATACATATCTAATATATTTCTATTATCTGACTGACTGATCAAATAGAATTTTCTTTTTTCTTATCCAGGTATCATCTCTATTTTATAGCTTCAAGTAGGTGAAATAATTTTCGTGATCGGATTAATATTTCCGAAGATTACCAGTCTAATTTTGTTTGAAACAAATTTAGACACTTTTTTCTTTAAACTATTATATGCTGAGTATTATCTAATTTAAAGTATGCATTTTTCTTTCATTATCTTTATATTTTGGACTTTTGTCTAACTTATATACATCTATACAATTACTTCTATAATGCATACATTTCTGCATGTAAAATAATATAATCTACATACATAGGCACAAACTTATATATACAGTCAAAAACTTATTATGACCCACAATAAGTAAATATCTTGAGATAATGTTTTAATCAATTAAAATATATTGTTTATTGTAATGAGTACTAGATTTGTTGACTATATTTTCGAAAGAAATGACAATTGAAACAAAATATCTAATTTAGATATTTTTCATTTTATTCCGAACATTATTAAGGTTCTGCAAAGGCTATAAATTAATTTGCACTGCACTGAGAGATATTATTGATAAAACCGCTGGTAATTCATCCTTGTTTGACAGTGACATAGGTCTCTCAAATTATTTTCGTGTATTGTAGGTTTATACTATTTCAACTACTGCTGACCAGCTTGTCTTCTAATGTGATCTACCATTCTTTTAGATGTGTCTACAACCCTATGTCTCTCATAATTCCCTCCATTTTTGATGTATTTGAGCTTTTGTTTGCAATATTACTTACACTTGCTTAACTAAACATCAAAAGCGCAGTAATTAGCGCGTCTGATCTCAAGCGCCGGTTTTCAGATAGGAAATCAATAATTAATTATCACAATTTTTCTGCGTCTGCAATTATTATACCCAGTTATTAACAATGCCTTGTTGATCCTAAATAAAGTAAAGGAATGCATGTGCTTTAGTAGTGGGTACATTAATTACTTACCCAGCCATCTTTTAGGTGGCCTACCGAGCGATTTGTTTCCGCAGGAAATGCTCCAAAACTATTAGGCCAAAATAATTTATAAATTAAAAAGTGGTATTATGGCTAACTTTCACAAAAAAACCTTCACATATTTTTAATGTTCCATATTGTGCAACATTTGTAATCTTAGAGGTCCCGGACTACAATAAGAATTTTGTTTAGCGAAGCCATAATATAACATGTTTCTTTTATTTTTAGTTCGATTTTGACATCCATGTTTTTTTATTTTTATTTTATTTCTTTTAGTGACCAGTAAATTTATGCAAATTATTGCTTTTTGACATGTATGTTCTCATCGAGACCTTTAATTTAATATCCATATTGCTATAATTAAGGAAAAATTTCTTTCACATTTTTTAAATGGCGTCATAATCCACCATATTGAATATTAAATTTAACTTCATATTCATTCATAAGTATGTATATATATATATATATATATATATATATATTCATTTATATTCAATGACTAAAATGAATTAATACAACTTTCATAGAGGTTTAAATAAGAAGTCAAATAGCCTACAAAATAAAATTTAATATGACTTTATTCCATACTTGAGGTTTTATTCTTTGTTCTTTTTTAGGTTAAGGACACCTATTACTTACAAAAAAAAACATTTATATAAGAAATAAATATCATCATCATCATCATCATCAGCCCTTTTACGTCCCCACTGCAAGGGCTCAGGCCTTTCTTATTGATGGGTAAGAAGGATGGGCCATGACCCTCCACGCTGGCCCAATGCGAATTGGAGGGTATTAACGACTGCAAATGCAGCCGGGATCAACGGCTTAACGTGCCTTCCGAAGCACGGAGTAGCTCGAGATAACATGTTTTTGGTCACCCATCCCGTGACCGACCCCTGCGAAAGTTGCTTAACGACAACGATCGCGGGCCGCGGCGCTTAACCACTACGCCAATATATAAATATAAAATATAAATAAATATAAATGAAACAAATTAAAAAGGTAACCAATAAACAAAATGTAGCGACTATGTAATACTACGAGTTTGCTGGAGTTTTGCAAATAACCCTTTATATTTTTTTGTTTAATACTGCAATTAAAAAATATGTAAGTCATTCGGTAGCTACGAGTTAATTGCACAATTTCCTTAACTATATCGTTGTCGTCCTCTATATAGTTTTGATTTTTTGTTTGTAAAGGAAAGCTTAAAAATCTACATGGTTATGTAGTTAATTTTAATTTTACGTAACATTATTATCACATTACATACCACTTTTATTTTGTTGGAAACGCGGCACAATATTTGCATACATACCTATAATTATTCTGCCACAAATTCCGTTTTGCACAGCATTCAATAAGGCATTTTGGAACGCCATAAAAGTACAATATATCC